TTATTATTATTATTATTTTGGTAGGCAATTTAATATGGGGTAGGGGAATTCTCTTGGATTGGAGTCGAACCGCCAAGTTTAGGTGATCCACTATTTTAAAGGAGTTCAATGTTGTCACTAAACTCCAACATGGTGAATCATCAGAGTCAAACAAATTATAAAAAACCTCTGGTTATCAATAAAAAATTATTACAACTCCTTTTGATTAGGTGAACCCTTTCAAATTGAAAAATAGATTATTGTCACCGTAGAAAGTGGCAACTTTGATTCTAAGTGTGTTGAGGTTGGACTCTGAAGAGCAAGACAGTAGAAACCCATAAAACAGTTAGGCGCTAGAACTAATTAAACTAGAAATTGAAGTGGCACTCTGATGCTCAATGTAAGTATAAGATTTCTTTCAGGAAAACTAGTGTAAGTGGCTAAGTGGAGAGCTGGAGAAGAGAAATGACTATTAATAAAGTAGAGGAATTGAGAGTGCGTATGAGAGAGAATGAAGGGGATATTCGATATCATTGCCTACACAAGATGTTCAAGTCCTCTAACATATGCCTGTCAGTTGACCTTTTTCAGAACACTCTCCAAATAAGGCGATTATTCATTGAAATATTTCTAAAAGAAATCACATGTATGGACCATGTATCATTAGGCCTAACCCATTTAATTGTCTTGAGCCTAATTCCAAGTACATAGATCAAGATAAAAAAAATTTAAACGAACCATAAATCTTGAATATTGTTATTACTATTAGGGGTGAATATTGGGTATGCGTACACCCATTACTTATAAATATTTTATTTGTTTGAGCAAGCATTCATATTTGAATTGTAGAAAAAATAGGTAAGTAATGAGTATAAAAATAATATATTTGTAAATACTAAATAAGAAGCAAATATGAGAATTTAAAACTATTTATCTAATTTGTTTAATTGATATGTTACTTATATTTGTATAATTGAAATTTTATATGTATTTATTATAATTAATATTTATATAATAACTTTTAAAAATAAAAATAATAAAATACAAAAAATAGAAATAAAAGCTAAGGAAAGCCTATAAGTCAAATAAATAGCACACACAACAATAACTTGTATAAATAGTGGCAGAGCCACGAGGTGCGAGGGGGGGCTCGCCCCTTGAAATTTGAAAATCTTGTAAATTAGTATATGAAAAATTATCTAACCTCTTCTGAACTTTGAAAATTTTAATATTTTGCCCCCCTTGAAAAAAATTTCTGCCTCCACCCCTGTGTATAAATAATAATAAATCCTAAACCAAAGATATAATACACCTAACAATATATAGTATTTTATATTGGACCTTTTTTTTTTCCTAAATCAAATACATAGGTATACACTCGCAAGTTACGCAATATTTGTTGGGTGAAATACCAGATATAAGTTTTTGGGTATTTGGGCAAACACTAAGTCCAAAGAATTATACCCAAGAATTCTCAAATCAAATACCAAATATAATTTATACTCTACTTATATTAAAAAATGCTTACCTCTAATTGTTATACTTTGTTTTGGAACGGTCATAATTTGGGATAAGGGGAAGGAGATATTGATATAAATCATATAATATTACCGTAATTTTTTTTTTTTTTTTGAATAAGTTGTCAAGGGGCAGGCTCGAAACCTGCCCATGAGAGAGGGGGAATGCACCTCAAATTGACAGGCTGCCAGTTGACCCAAAAGATCAGGTGGTAATATTACCGTAATTTAAACTTTGATACCAACTAAAACATTACATGCACCAACTAACTATCTATAAGACCAAGTGGCCGTAATTGTTATACTTAAAATTGGGCTAGAACATTTTTTTTAATAACCCAACTCGAAGATACATACCACATTAACAACAGTTGGATTTCCTATAATAAGCCCAACTTGAGGAGTCCAGTCCAAAGTGGGGCAAGTGGCAGGTCTATCGTAAGTTAACTGTTAAGGGACAGATACAATTATTGTATTAGCTACCTACTAACAAATGTATTTCTTTCATTTATTTTTAATAAATTTAATTTAATTTTTTAATTTTTAAATAAAAATTTAAGATAAAAATTTAACATATTATATAAATAATAATTAAAATTTTTTAAAATAAAAGCATTTAACAAAAATTTTATTTTAGTCAAAAAAATTTTAATTGTAATTTATATAAATTATTAAATTTTTAATTTAAAATTCATATTTAAAAAATTCAAAAATCATACTAAATAGACAAAGAAAATAACTAATAGCTAATCACTACTTATATTAACTGTTCTTAACAGTTAAACAAAAAGAACTTGTGTATAAATTGGAACAAGTTGCAGAACATATTGTCAGTACTTTAGTATTTCCTCACTCTTAATATTCTCTCTGAGTCATTCTTCCCCTCATTTCCGACTCATCTCATGTCTAGTTAAGCTCTAATGCTTTCTTTGTTTTGCAGACGTTCGCTGGAAATCTAGCTGGCATCAACTAGTTCCTAGCATCACTTTTTGGTGATGAGAAATGTAATTTGGAGGAAGGGTTGTTATCTTTTCGAGCCCAGCAGCCATCATCTTTTTGTGGGGTCTCTTCTTGTTGTTTGAGAAAAGGAAAACAACTGATGGGTCTGGTCAAATTTGACTGAAGACATCAATCACAAATGATTAACTTGTGCATGTGTAAAAGCTCAATGCACTCGTGCTCCCAAATGCAGGACGTCTACCTCCTCTGTTTTCAGTGAACATGCTCTGTCTCCTCTGTTTCACTGTAGTTTGCACAAGGAGGAAAACAGTCCCATCCCATGTGAGTGCAGCTTTTTACTCGTGGAATGTTGGATAAAATTGAAAGACAAAGTGCAGTTTTTGCGGCTTACTTCTAGAACAATTCCTATAATTGAAGCAAGATCAAACTTGATTTTCTTAAATTTCTATTTTTCTTCATAGAAACTAATTTTAACTTCTAAAATAATAGCAACATGAGTTCCTCATTTTTTTTTTAATTTAATGAAATTTAACAACATTTTAACATTTTACTATATTATAAAAATTATTAAAATATCAATAAAATCTCCATAAATATTAAATGAGCCTCTAAAAATTTTTAATAAAAATTTCTCAATAAATTTATTATAAATACTCGAATAAATCTCAAATAAATACCAAATGAATTTCTCTTAAAGAAAACTTAAAAATTTAAAGCCCGACTAACTCTAATTATGTTCAAATTCTTATTAAATATAAAACCTTGAAATACTAAAGTTCTATGCCAATCAAATTCTTATCATGTGTAGGAGTATTAAACCTTGGCGGGAAATGATTTTGAGATAATTTTTTTGTCTCACCTTTTGTACAACTTAACGTGTCATTTATATGATTAGTTTTTTTTATTCATGTAGGTTTGTGATATTGAATATATTCATTTATTTAATGACATATGAAAATTATATCAAAAAATAATATAAAAAGATTATTCTTATAGTGTCACCCAACCTTACCAAGCCACTTAAGGGGGGTTAACCAAAAAAAAGCCACTCATATATTTCGGACTCTTTCAAGTAATTGGCACTGCAACCCAGAGCAGGAGTAGCCCTTTCCAACTCCAATTTCGCATATGAATACAGAAATGTTATTGACCATTTTGGGCTCAAAAACAGATTTTTTGATGGATTACCCAAGGTTTTAATATTATTTTGTGTTTATCAAATTCTTATTAGATCTTATTATATTACAAAAATTATTAAAATTATCAATAAATCTTAAATAAATATCCAATGGACTTTTTAAAATCTTCAATAAATTCCTTTAAAATCCTCAATAAATCCCTTAAAATTACTTATAAAATCTCAAATAAATACCAAATAAACCTTTCTTAAGAAAAATTTAGAAATTTGAAACTCAATTAACTCTAATTATATTCAAATTCTTATTAAATATAAAATCTTGAAATATTAAAA